GTGTGTGTGTGTGTCAGGGTTCAGACGAATCAATCGCAGGGCACAAGCAACCCCACCCTGGGTCACCGCCTTCGTGGCAGGAAGTGCTTCCTTCTCTCTGGGATAAATGACACCAAACTCAGAGCCAAACTCAGAACAGTGACATCTAAGGTCAGATACCAGAAAGAATCTAAACTTTAGCAAGTGGCTCACTTTTACATTTGGGTTTCCTTCCTTTTTGTCTCTTTTCCGAAGCTCCTCCTTTTACCAGAATGTGCAAATCCCTTCTAACGTTCAGTAGGCCGCTATCACGTCCCCTCGGGCGGGTGGACAGCCGAGTCCCAGCTTACCTCTGGGACTACACAGCTGCTATTATTTTTGGAAAGCCTGTCTAAAGAGCAGAAAGTGTCCCTGTAGGACTTTTGGGACCGTGGTGTAAAGTGGTCCTTATAACGGGAACAGTGGAGACCAAGGTTTCTATTTTCCTTCCGGGGGGTAGAGAGAGACGTGCGTAGAAAGTGTTCTCAAGTGAAAATAGCCGCGCTGCTGTTCCTTTTTCTAGCCTAGTTATAGGGTTTGATTACAGATTCCTGTCTCAGGACTGTGGGTGGTTGCTCTGTGGAGTCAGAAATACTCGGCCACAGCTGTCCCCTCAGGTCCAAGTTCCTTTCTGCTAGCTAATTGCCACTTGTCGAGACCTCCAGGCGCACTTCATGGTAATTTATCCGTGTGTGGTTAATCGTTCCCTTCACAGAGAAGGAGAAAAGTTGGCTTGAAACATTCTGAACAAAGGAGACATCCGAGGGCTTCTTTGATAAGCCTCTGTGACAAGGGCAGGTCACAGTCACAGAGCCGAGACTCCGCTGCCAGAAGAGACCAAGTGACCCGGGAAGACCAGACACTCCTCCTTAATGACAGGACGTTTTCTTCTGCCTGGGAAGGATGCAAAGTGGCCGAACGTGGAGGCAGGCATGGCTTGAGGTCCCCCCAGGTCTCGGCGGACAAAGAAGTGAACTTTCACAACTTGTTCTGATTTTTGAGTTCTCCCTTCCTTCGATTCTTTCCATTAAACTCTCTCCTGTTTATCCTTCCTAGCAACTCTGATTCCTCCAAAGATTGAAGAAGTTGTTCCAGGCAGCTGAGAGGGATTCTGCCTGGGCTTCCAGAAGGCCTGGAGCCTCGGGCGGAGTCAGGGACACACGGCCTCACGGCCCCGCCAACGCCCTGCCTCCCACAGGAGCCTCCCTGTATCGCTGCGTCCCCAGGGGTCTGAGGACCCCAGCGGGTGTGGGAAGGGGGCATGGGGGGCAGGGCAGGGGCTGCTCCCAACTCCCCCACCCCGCCTCCTCCGGGCAGCCGTGGTGCCCACCCCAGACAGGGGTTCTGGAATCATTCATTCACCAAACCACGATCATACTTGCTTCCAATTCACAAAAATCCTCTCTGATCCTCACAGCCCCTCTTCTTCCTTGTTTCAGAAAATGGCAGCTCTGTCCATCCGTCCATGTGCCCGCCCTCATCCCAGAGCCCCCGCCTCCCACGTCCACTCACTCAGGTCCTCGCCATCTCCGTTCTGGACCAGAACAACCCCGTCTCCCTCAACACTGGAAAGATCTGCCTGCGGTGCGGATCCGACCATTTTCGTTCTTCGCTTGAAACCCTTCGTAGGCTGCGGTTTCACGTCTGGGCCGGCCTCTACCAGCCCGGCCCACCCCCAAAGCCGCACGCCGCATGACCAGCCCCCGGCACACGCTGTCATGGGGTTGTCCATGCGGGTCCCGTGAAGTGGACGATGATGGAAAAGGAAAATCCTCCCTGTGGGCACGACCTGGAGTGTTTCCTTGTCCAGTGTGCACGGGGCAGGTCGCCTGGAGTCGGGTCTACACTGAACCCTGGGGAAATGGTGAGGGGCCTCGCTGCCTGGGTAGGGACTTGGAAGAAACAAAGTGGGAAACTTAGTGACAAAGATTTGGGAACGGCTACATCAGTGGAACCCAGTGAGCCCAGAGGGAACCCAAGTCTGAAAGATTCATATTCTGCATGAATGGCTGCAACTGGCTGAAAGCCTGTGCCCCCCTCAAATTCTTACGTTGAGGTCCTAACCCCCAATGTGATGGATTAGGAGGTGGGGCCACTGAGAGGTGATGAGGTCATGAGGGTGGCTGCCTCATAAAAGGGATTAGTACCTTTATTTATTTATTTATTTTTTAATTTTTTTCAACGTTTATTTATTTTTGGGACAGAGAGAGACAGAGCATGAACGGGGGAGGGGCAGAGAGAGAGGGAAACACAGAATCGGAACAGGCTCCAGGCTCTGAGCCATCAGCCCAGAGCCTGACGCGGGGCTCGAACTCACGGACCGCGAGATCGTGACCTGGCTGAAGTCGGACGCTTAACCGACTGCGCCACCCAGGCGCCCCAGGGATTAGTACCTTTATAAGAGACCCCACTGATTGGGGTGCCGGGGTGACTCAGTTGGTCCAGCGTCTGACTTCAGCTCAGTTCATGATCTTGCGGTTTGTGGGTTCGAGCCCCGTGTTGGGCTCTGTGCTGACAGCTTGGAGCCTGGAGCCTGCTTCCGATGATTCTGTGTCCCTCTCTCGCTCTGCCCCTCCCCCACTCGTGCTGTCTGTCTCTCTCTCTCTCAAATAAAAACACTAAAGAAGAAGTTATTAAGAGACCCCATAGAGCTCTCTTGCTCTCTTTGGGCCACGTGAGAGCACAGTAAGAAGTTGCCAGGACACAACCAGAAAGAGGACCTACCCCTGAACCTGACCGTGCCGGCATCCCGATCTCAGACCTCCGGCCTCCAGAGCTCCAAGAAGTCAGCTTCTGTTGCCTGTAAGCCACCCCAACACGTGGCATTTTGCTGTAACAGCCTGAACAGACTATGCTCTTCCAAAGTCCCCACCTTCAACACCAGAGAGAATCCTTAAAAACCACACGCCCCACCCTGGTCCTGCAGGCAGCCCAGTGCTCGCCCAAAAGGCTTGCCAACACACTCGCCGGGCACCAGAGAGGCCCCTCGCGACCTAGATGACCCCCACCCCTGCTCTCCACGGCCGCCCCACCCTCTGACCTGCTGAGCGCCAACTGCCAACAACAGGGATCCACCCCGAGGCCCCAGATCTGCACCGCGCCCTCAGGCCACCGGCCAGCGGCTCGGTGGAAAGCGGATCGCACGGGGGCCCTTCCTCCGGAGCACTCCTCCTCCCTTGACAGATGCCATGGTCTGTCGTCGCTAGGCCAGCCCCGCCGCCCAGAGGCCTCCTGAAGGTCTCCTGTGCCACACAGCACAGCCTGAAACCAGCCAACCCGCTTCTGCGCCGACGAAACGAAGCAGCGTCCGATAACCTTAGGACCGTGGGCCCTCCCGCCTGCTGTGCTGCCTGCGGGAGCACCAGGCTTTCCGGGTGGGAGCACGTGGTGCTTCTCCCCAGAGGCGCAGCATGCGAGTCCGGGGACCAAGGGACATCGCCTCCCATGATGATACCCAATGACCTAGACTCAAGGATTTTCCCTGTGCTTCACAGCCCTGGTGAGCTGGACGTGTTGAGACCCAAGAAAGAATGCTCCTGTGAGCAGGTGGCAAAAAAGAGATGCTCAAAGTGCCACCGGGTCATTTTGGGTCTCTTGGGCTTCTTAGGGAGTGGCGTCCATGTAAGGACCTGGGGATACAGAGGGCGTGGGGTGGCCTCCATCGGGGTCGCGTGTCTGGCTGGAGGTAGGATGGCTGGGTCTGTGGGCTGCAGGCCTCCTTAGAGATGTGTGTGTGTGCCTAAGCGTGCACATGCGTGTGCCTAAGTATGCACGTGTGCATGTGCCTAAGTGTGCACATGCGTGTGTACCTAGGTATGCACGTGTGTGCCTGAGTGTGCACGTGCGTGTGCCGAGGTGTGCGTGCATGTGTCCACAGTACACGCACACACGTTGAACAGAGAAGAGGTACAAATCCGTGGGCCCCTGCAGGGCGGCTTCCTGGCTCGTCTGAACCTCCTCTGAAAGCTGTCCCCCGTGTACTCAGGAAATCCAAGCATCCCAGTCCATACCAAGTGGCCCTGTCAAGTCCCCCGAACCTGGAATTTTGTAAATGCTTCTGGGAACGGACAGGACCACAGCTCCACGTGCTCAGCGCCTTGCACGGGGTCCGCCCAGCCACAGCTCAATGAGTATGCTCACGGCAATGGTCTAGAGAGAAACAACTCCCAGAGCCTAGCCTCCTGAAGCCAGCCTGGCTCCAGCCCTTCCCTTTCAACTCTCCCCCGGGGTTCCCTGAGGCCCTCTGACCTTCCAGTAAGTTCCTGTGTCATGTAAACTAGCCAGTCTCGCTTTCAAGCAATGCGTTCTGAACACGCACACGGGGCTCCTTCCCCATCCTCCAGGGAAGCCCACTTGCTCACACATCCATCAGTGGGTGAGCCTCTCAGAAGTGGTCAGCTTGTTCCCGCAGACCCTGGGGCTCTCCAAGCCTGTGGTCGGTCACGATGTGCTCCTCAACACCTTCTGACTGTCCACAGAGCGTGTCCTGGGCCCCTCGGAGAATCAAACCTAAGCTACGAATCCTTTCCCCAGAAACCGTGAGACAAAACGTGGTGTGACGCTTTAAGGGGCACAGGGCCTCCAGATTAGGAGCTGTTTGCTAGTGAGTAGTCAGCAGGACCTCCCTCTCCTTAAGGGCTCCAACCAGGGGGTCATTGATGCTGGTGGCCGCCAGGCGCATGCACTCTGGGCACAAGGCCCGGGGTGACACACGGGGAAGGAACCGCCTGCAGAGCCGCGCACTGGGGCTGGGATCTCAGGCTCTGCAGGAGCAGGTGTCCTGTGAGTTTCCTTCCCCAACAACAGCTTCACTTCCAGGGACCTGGGATTTCGAAAAGGTCATCCATTTGGTTGGGCAGCCCTGCGGGGCCAGCCAGGGTGAAATCAAAGGCTGAAGAGGAATCCTGCTCACCAGCGGGGCCACTCAGGCCCTCAGCACCCAGGGACTGGGTGACAGTGTCCGGACGAGGGGACCTCGTTACCTTTGTCAGCTGCTGCTCCGAGGAGAACCCCAGGCCGAACACAGTGTTGGCTCTGCTGTCCGCCCACTGCCCAAACTTCTGCGACGTCTTGGTGAAGGTCATGTTGGGTGTGATGGTGCTGTTTATAATCACCTGCAGGAGAGAACCCAGGAGAGCAGGAAGTGAAACACAGAATTCGACACCAACGGAACTCCTTACGAAGTCTTCGTCTGGCACGGCTGGTGCCTAACGTACGCGTCCCCACTCTGTTCTTTTTGGTCCCGAGTTTCTCCTCTCCTGGCACATTCTGTGCTGAGTCAGATACACAACCATGATAAGGGGTAATTTCAGAGACTTAAAAACAGACCGTCGGTCTGAAATAAGATCGTACAAGTTAGTGGGAGAGAAGTCTGCCCCGAGTGGAGAATAGTTTCCAAAACTGCTGTTTATTTCCTCAAAGCTGCCACGCATCCAACGGCCCTTCGTGGCCAGCCACACCACCCGCTCTGACGACCCGCGCTGTGCCCCTTTTTAAGCACCCGGAGCCCCAGCGTCCGGCTCCAACAACTTACAATCTCCATAAGCGATTGGGGCTTGCTGTTTCCCAACAAGAAGGTGAAGGTATACTTAATGGGGGTAATCTGCCGAGGGTTAATTTACAAAGGAAGTAACCATACAGGCATGAGCTGGGTGGAGGGAGGCTGTAGGGGGTGGTGCGGGGACCTGGTGTTAGATGTCGCCCCCTTCTCTGGCTCAAAGGATCAGGGAGGAAGAGGCTACAGACTGAGGAAGACCAGAGTCACGTAGAGCTGGCTGCCTGGAGGAGAGAGGTGACCTTTTGTTGAGAGACATCCCAGGATACGCATGGCTTCCCACAAGAGGGGAGCCGGGGGCACAAATACCCTCGCTTCTCCCCTTGATCTCCTGCCACTGGCCAGACCCAACCAGAAGCCGGAGGCCCCCGGGGACCCATGCTGCGGTCTGCAGATCAGCCTCTGGGAGGCCACGGCAGGGTACGAAGGGGAGAGAACGAACCTGGAATGATAAACCCAGCACACGCTACATTCATACATTCATATACTGAGCATTTACTTGTCAGGCATTCTGTCAACCGAATACGAGATGAATGAGTCAAGATTCCTCATCTTCTAGTTGCAGGAAGTCAGGAAGAGGGTGGAGACATGTAAATAAATAATCAAGGAACAACTGAGAAGCGTTAGGAAATAGCAACTAAGGCTCACTCTGGCAGAAATCCTTCGAAGCCCTGAGGCTCTAAGTAACAGTCAAGAAAAAGGTCCCTGGAAATAAGGGATTCTTGGACGTTTGTTAACAAGCAGGAGTGACAAAACTCACTGCTGACTTCCTCATCAAATAGCTTTTGCATGCTGAGTAGGGGCGCACCGCGTTCTGCTGGGGTTCACATTACTGCCTGTCACGGATAATTGCGTTGTTTACAAACTGGAGGTTTGTGGTTACCCTGCGTCAAGCAAGTCGATCGGCACCATTTTTCCAACAGTGTCTGCTCACTTCAGTGTCACATTTTGATGATTCTTGCAATATTGCAAATGTTTTCAATTATTTAAAACAATTTTCTTTAGGGGCGCCTGGGTGGCGCAGTCGGTTGAGCGTCCGACTTCAGCCAGGTCACGATCTCGCGGTCCGTGAGTTCGAGCCCCGCGTCAGGCTCTGGGCTGATGGCTCGGAGCCTGGAGCCTGTTTCCGATTCTGTGTCTCCCTCTCTCTCTGCCCCTCCCCCATTCATGCTCTGTCTCTCTCTGTCCCAAAAATAAATAAACGTTGAAAAAAAAAAAAATTAAAAAAAAAAATAAATAAAAAAACAATTTTCTTTAAATATTTTTGAGAGAGAGAGAGAGAGAGAGGGACAGAGTGTAAGTGGGGGAGGAGCAGAGAGAGGGAGGCACAGAATCCAAAGCAGGCTCCAGGCTCTGAGCTGTCAGCACAGAGCCCGTCGCGGGACTTGAACCCACACACTACAAGATCGTGACCTGAGCCGAAGTCGGACGCTTAACCGACTGAGCATGTCTACTCATTCTCCACTGTATGGTGGGAAATGCGTATGAACACGCTGTTAGGGTTCCACATGACGTTATCACCTACAAGAGAAAGTTCCCCTCTTCGTCTGCTGGGCAAGCGGGGAGTATAGCAAATCCATGTTCCACGCAGGCACGGAACCAGGTTGGGGCCCAGTTCCAGCTCTGGTCAGGCTCAGTCCGCCTCGGCTTCACTTCTGTTTTTAGGGCAGGCCCTCCACGGCTCTCAGCTGGGAGCCTGGCACGTCTTTATATCCTCTTCCCCGAAAGGCTTTGGGAGATCATCCCGTTCTGTCTGAGGTCTTCAGCTTCGTTCCGTAGCCTTCCAGATTTTAACCTTCAAATCTGGCAAACCTTGAAGGGGAAACGGGCCGTGCCGTCTGGGGCCGCTCGTCCCCAGTTCTGTCATTCAGGCTCCCACATCTCTGCTGGTCTGTCTTTTCCCCAGGGGCCAAACACGGACTTTGAGGCTCCAGCTCCTCCCCACACCCTTTAGTGCCCCGGAGGAGGGGGGGATGTAGATGCCAGCGCCAGTCCCCAGCCCCTCTGGAGCTTTCCTGCCTTCGCGGTTCTTCTCCAGACCCCTTGGCAGGCCTCCACTTCTTAGCACTGTAAACACGAGGGAAGTTTTACTCGGCCTTTTGGAAACGTCCAGCCTACCTCCAGACCCGCAGAGACCTGCCGTTCAGCCACTGTCTTGCGGGGAGGCCAGCCATGGGCCTGAAGCCCACCGGCCTCCGAGGCTGCCCCCCGGGCCCTGTGCGCTGTTCCCCGTTCTGTGCGCTTCCTTCCTCCCCCCAGCAGCCCCAGCCGGCAGCCAGGCCTGGCAAATGCTCCCGACACGGAAAGAGCTGCCACCTGCCACTGACCTCTCCAGTGGTCCTCTCCTCTCCAGAATATTAGTCCCTCATGTCCATAGTGTTTCTACAGTTCTCTGATGCCTTTAAGCATCTTACCCAGGTTCTGCTCGTGGCCATCAGAGGAACCACTGCCTGCCAGAATTTATACACCTTACGCAAAAGTGCAAGTGCAGATGCCGTGGGAAGTTTGCAGGGCTGCAATTCACCACGTGTCTCAGGTGACACATTCTGCTGCGGAAACATGCAGCCTCGCAAGGGGCTGCCATTTATATCGAGAAGCAAAACACAGGGCGCCCGGTTGAGCCTCCGACTTCTGCCGGTTGAGCCTCCGACTTCGGCTCAGGTGATGATCTCACGGTTGGTGGGTTCGAGTCCAGCGACGGGCTCTGTGCTGACGGCTCAGAGCCTGGAGCCTGCTTTGGATTCTGTGTCTCCCTCTCTCTCTGCCCCTCCCCCACTTGTGCACGCACACTCTCTCTCTCAAAAATAAATAAAATATATTAAAAAAATTTTTTTCAATATATTCAAGGAAATGGGAAAATGGACAATGTAGATGAAAAAGGATATCCCCAGGGACTCAGGAGTTTTTAAGTTAATGTATTTATTTTGAGGGGGAGGGGCAGAGAGAGAGAGAGGGAGAGAGAAAATCCCAAGCTGACTCTGCACTGTCACCACAGAGCCCGGCCTGGGGCTTGATCTCATGAACTGTGAGCTCGTGACCCAAGCCGAGATCAAGAGTCAGACACTTAACCAGCTGAGTCACCCCTGAATTTTGTTTTTAGGAATCAAACGGACATTCCAGAACTAAAAAACGCAAAGTCTAAAATTAACAGTTCAGTGAGTAGGTTTACTGATTGGATACATCAATAGCCAGGATTAGGGAACCGGAAGGCCGATTGACAGAAAATATCAAGATTGAAACAGAACCAAGAATCAGGGGGTGGAAAGCTGGTAAGAATGTAAACCATGTTGGATGCACTTAGGAGGTCTAGTGGACACGTAACCAGAGTCCCAGAAGGCGAGGCGAGAAGACGGAACAGAGCGATATTCATAGAACGGTTGAGAATTAAAAAGAAAAAAAAATTTTTTGAGTCCACAGATTTGAGAAGCTGAATGAATCCCCAAGCAGGAGACAGATTTAGCTCTTAAAGCCAGTTAATCACTGTTTTCTAAGTAATACGTACATTACATTCCTTTTCAGCACTTACTAGTTGTATGACCTTGAACATGTCATTTGATAAACGTGACTTTGTCGAGCCTCAGTTTTCCCATCTGTAAAATGGGAATTAGATAGAAGACTGTATGAAAAAGTGCCTTAGGATCTGTTACATTCTAAAGAACTACCAGGGGACTTCACCTATGTTATTCCAGCCTGACTCTGGAAGAGCCTGTTTGGGGTGAGCTTCAGAAGTGTGTCCTCTACTCTGCTCAGCCTCTGTCTTCTGACTATCAAGAGGGTTTTGGGGACGCTGACCTCAAGGTACAGGTTTGCTGTAAAGGAGCAGAAAGATCTAGAATGAATCAGGTTTCCGAATGGGTCTGGTGATGGCTTTGCCCTTCCCAGCATCCTGGTAATTGAGAGGTGACCAGGGTTGGCTTTCTGGGGTCATGGGATCCACCCTGATCGAGCAGCCCAGGCACACACCAGCCCTAGGCCTGCTCTGATTCCACCATATCAGTCCCAAGCGGAGCTGTGCCAGACCCCAGCCAACCTCCGAGGCCCCAGAAGCATTCCTTTATACTCGCCCCTGGTTTAGGCCGCTCTTCCCACTCCCCTCCCCGCCCCCCCCCATCGCCGACAGCGTCCGGTGACAGCAGGCAGAGCTCTTGACCAACTATTTCAAATTTGGTTATCTGAAAAATGCTCGATAACGTGTCCGAACTCACATGGGCTTTGGTACCCCAGGAGAGTTACCACGTGGATGGGAAGGGAGCCAAGATTGCAGCGGGGGGCGTCCCTAGTCCACAGACGGGGTAAGAAGGGAGGTCGTCAGGCACAGAAGGAGAAACGTTGTATAGAAATTCCGAATACAGGTTTTTGAGTCGGACAACCTGAGTTTTACCGCTAGACTGTGCTCCTCACCGGCTCGTTTTCTCGTCCTGTGAAATCAAGGTGAGAGCCTAGCCCCAGGCCCCCGTGAGCTGACAGAGACAATAAACGGTCGTTCTCTTCGTGTTAACTTCTAGAGGTTGTTCTGCCAAGCAGGCAAGGTTTATGCGTGAGCTGATGCCTCACTAGAAA